GGGAGCAGGAAATAACTCTGCACTGAAGCATTTAGTGCTGATTTATACTCTGTGTCCCCAAGAAGGAAGTGAGACTGAATTTCTCTTTCCTTGAGCAGCCCAGACAGCTGGGTTTTGTGGGCTCTGCTGCCATTGTGACCAGCAGTGTGGAGCAGGCAGTGCTGGGCTCTGATTGATGTATGGGACTGGGGGAGGAGGGGGGAAGCATTTGTTGGGTGCTGTCAGATCCCGGGGAGCTGCTGACAGCTCATTCCTGGCCTGCACTGCCCAAGCTGACACCCCGGCCATCCCATTGCCAACATGGGGCAGGAGGTGTTTCCCACAGTGGGTTCTGGGCTTTCCCTTTGCACAGACTTCAATGAGAGGGGCAGAGCCAAAAAGGGGCCCGGGGCTGCCCCTTGCCATCCACCTGGTGCTGGCACTGCTCCTTTTCTCATGAAAGTCCTCGAAGCTTGTGGCTGTAAAACATGGAAATCAGGGAAACGTTCACCTCCAGGTTGTGTGGCGATGGGAGGTACAAATCCCATTGGAAATATCAGTGCTGAGAGCTAGAAATCAATACAGACCCAATTCAGGATTTCTGCTGGAGCTGCTTCTGCTTTAACCCTCTGAACAAACGGACCCGTTTGTGGTTGTACTGCAATGAGCTCAGTGCAGAGCAGTGCCTCCATAACCACTGCTGCTGCTCCTTTCCTGTGCTGGGAAGGCTGGGGGAGGGCAGGGAGTGCACAGTGCCTGCAGGTCACCATCTGCTGAGCTCTGGGCTGTCCCAGGGATGGGGATCTGCCTCTGAGGTGAACACAGGTGGAATGAGAGCCCAGAAATGGCAATGCTTTGTCTCCCTGTGTTGGTGCCAATGGGATGCGTTGGGATGGTTGGGTGCCATGGGCTCTGGTTTGTGGTGAGAAATAGCAAAGGATGTGACCAATGCATTGACATGTGGCTCTGAGCATCCTGTGGGGGGTCGGGGGGGTAAAGGGGGAAGCAAACAGACAATAAATGCCAAGGAATGGGCTGATGTAAGCACATGGTGATGGGGAGGGATGGGGTGGCGGCCCTGCCAGCCTTTGCATGCAGGGTTTTGTTAACAATATTAAAATCTGCGTTCCCAAAAATCTGTATATGAGCTGGAGATAAACCAAAAGAGCCCATTCACGGCCAGGTTTTGCAGCAGAAGGACGTTGGCTTCAGTTTATAAAAGCCAAAAGGAAAAGCCGTTTAGCTGCGGTTATGTTTGAGGCGTAGGTGGCTGCCAGGTGTGCGAGGATTTGAATGAATGCTCCGAGAGGATCGCTGTAGGAAATGCTGTGTGGTCATAGGAGTTTGTGTTTCCTGTGCCTGGGGCATGGCGTGCTCTGAGACTGGGAAAGGAGCTTCTTTTCCGCCTTCTTTCCCCTTTACTCCCCCAACATTTTTCCTCTTCTTTCTCAGTTTTCTTTTTCTTTTCCCTTCCCTTTCCTTTTTTTTCCCTTCCCCTTTTCCCTCCTTCTTTCTCCATTTTCTTTTTCTTTTTTTCCCCTTTCCCCTCTCTTCCCCCCCTTTTTCTGCCCTTTTTTCCTTCTTTTATTTTTATTTTTTCCCTTTCCTTCCCCATTTCCACCCATTTCTCCTCCCTATTTCTCCTTCTCCTTTTTCTTTTTTCCCCCTTCCACTCCTTTTTCTCCCCCTTTCTCCCCTTCCTCATATACAGAAGGGACAGCAGCCGGGCCGCCCCATCTCCCCATTGCAGCGTTGAAGCCGAACAGAGGAATTTTCCACCACTTCCAAAAACGAAGTAAATTCCCCTGGCAAAAAGAAAACCCCACCCCAGCATTCGCAGCGACTCAGGGCTTCTTTCCTTTCTCTCTTTTCCTTTTTCTTTTTTTTTGTCTTGAAGCCGTGTCCAGAAATAAACAACTGTTTCAATCCTCTGGGCTGATCAAAAGCGCCGTTCTAATCAGTCCCAGGCAGAACATCACGCTGCTCTGTTATCGCTGGAGCAAATCATCGAAAATACACAACAAAAATATCAGCGTAATGCACTCCAGATCAGGAATGTCCCGAAGAAAAGCTCCTTCCTCGCAGGTGTGCCTTATTTTAGGAAGAAAGACGGCAGAATTGGGGCTGCTTTGGGGCGAGCGTGGCTGTCAGAGCAGAAAGGAGGAGATGAGAGCTGGCTGAGCCCTGTGTCAATGCGTGGAGCTCTCAGAGTGCTCTGCCCTTCCCTGTGTGCGTGGTGATTATTTTTTAAACCGACAAATTATCTTAAAAGGGCCCACTGTGCTGTAAGCCCTCCTCTGAAGTGCTGTTAGGGAAGGAATGCTGAGCTCTGAGCCCATCCAGGGGTAGCTCCGTGCTGTCCCCCCAGCTCTGCTCCCACCCCATCCCATAGCAGCCCCCTGTGACAACCTTCCTGCCTCTGCAGTGGGAGACCCTCGCACCAAACCGATGTTGGGGTGCTGTGAAGGTTTGGATTTGCTTTGAGGGAAGTTTGGGATCTGATGTGTTGTGATCCTGGAAGGCCTTTGGTAAATGCAATAGCTGTTTCTCCCAGCAGTTCGGTGCTGCTGAGCATCGATGCTGCTGTAGGGATGGAGACATCATAGAATCATAGAACAGCCTGGTTTGCAAAACGAGCACAATGCTCATCCACTTCCAACCCCCTGCTGTGTGCAGGGTCGCCAACCAGCAGATCAGGCTGCCCAGAGCCACATCCAGCCTGGCCTTGAATGCCTGCAGGGATGGGGCATCCACAGCCTCCTTGGGCAACCTGTTCCAGTGTGTCACCACCCTCTGGGTGAAAAACTGCAGTGCGGTTTGCACCCTAAAACACTGGCTGGGATGGGGAGGAGTGGCTGGCAGTCCTCAGTCTTGCCTGTAAATTACAAGGAAGGTGACTTTTCTATTTTCCATCTTTGTCTCAACGAGGCTTTTTCTGTTGTGCTCCAACCCGTGCACAACTGGGAAGTGTGAGTTTAAAAAGGGATGCAAAGATTTAAAATGGGAAGCACGGATTTCCAACGTTCCGCTGCAGCTTTTGTTCAGCGTTCCTCTCCAAAAGTCACCCATCTTCGTGTGCTCTGCACACACAAATGGAAGGAGAAAGGAGACGTCAATACCGTGGGCTCATCTGTTTCCTATCGTGCGTGTTTACACATTAATGCGCAATACAAATTTGTAAACACGGGCGTTTGATGCTCTGGTGGGAGCCGATGCCTGTTCCCTTCTGCCCCTTTATTGGAACAGCATGTCTGATGCGGCGGAGCCGCAGATGTGGATGGTTTCAATACTGGATACATTTCAAATGCTCCGTGCTCCTATTTGTCCCGCTGTGTATCGCTAACCAGCCCCCCCTTTGGTTTGCGTAATTGCCATACAAATTATCAGCTAATTACAGCCCAAACCTCAGGAGATCAAATGGGAGTGAGGGGGCTCCTCCCGGCGCGACCAACCCTCCCTTCCCGGTGTGCAGGTGATGGCAGAACGTCGCTTTGGTGATAACACCAGGAGTGTTCTTGCGTCTCTGTGGGTTTTAAGTCCTCGTCCTGCAGCTGGGACACCCCACCCAACCCACCCCAACCCACCCCACAGAGACTACACGGAACCTCTGGTGCTGTTGGCTCTGTTTGCCGTGTCGGAGTGCAGGAGGTTCTGAGTCACTTTGGGCTCCTCCTGGGAGAGCTCAGTGGCCAAAGCGCCTCAACCTTTCCGAAACCTCGGGTTGTTTTCTCCTTGTTCCCATTAACGACAGCACAATAGCGCTGGGTTTGTGTTCTTATTCACCCCTCCATCTATAAAAGTGAGAACGCAGTCATCACCAGTCTCCAAACACTGAGAGTGATGGGAAGCACCGAACAGCCTCAGTGTGCTGTGATCCCCCCAGCTCACGGCCAACATCTCAGGGATATTCCATGCAGTTTCACTATCTGGAAGATGAACGTTTGCCCACCACCTTCAGCCCAAACCCAAAGAGCCCCAAAAGCACAGCCACGAGCAGTGCTCTGTAGCACCCATACCAGCCCACCGGCCTGGAAATGGGGGCTCCCAAAGGGAAAAAAAAATCTCATGCTTTTAAATAAAAAGTATCAATACCGGTTTTGGTTTTTAAACCTACGTTTAATCCTTATATATTGCTGTTATGTTTGTAGATACAGAATTCTCTTTACTTAATCCCAAAATATGGCAGGTCCCCGTCAGGCACTTTGTATCACATCTGTCATAGGTAACAGAAGGGGGGCAAATATAAGCTGTGCCCCAACTTACAACGAGCTGCACTGTGCCCCCAGAGCCAGAGATTATTTACAGGAATAACACAGTTATCACAGGTGAAAATAAAATGAGTGGAACTGTGGGAGGGGTGTCCATAACTCTGCTCAATCCTCATCCTCTGCAGCTCCTGCTCTCGTCACCCCCAGCACTGCATGGGGATGGGATGCTCTGGGAAGACCTGTGTGGGGCTCTGTGTCCTTAACGCAGCACCGGAGCCTTCAATCCATGTCTGCATTGTGATGTGGGTCCATCAGGGCACTTCCATGCGGTTGACCAGCTCCAAGTCAACACACGAGCGCACTCCAGTCCCTGGCTGCACGCAGCTCCTTTGCTGACCCACATTCTTTGAGGGTCCCTTTGGAATTAGGGGAAATCCACAGGGGGGATGAGCAGGAGCCGGTGGGGCTCAGGTCTGACTGTAGGGAAGCTCGATAGTTTCAGGAAAACAGATTTGTGGAAATGCATACATCTGTGTTCCCACTTCAGAGTGCAAATAGTAAAAAGGTGTCTGCACTGCTCACCCTCCCTTACAACCCTACACGAATATCACCGATGGGTATCGGCTTGCTTGGATCAACACAGCCCTCCGTGCTGCCTACAATACTGCACGTTTACCCCCAAATTAAAGGCCCATCAGACTGCTCCTGCACCGCACCGTGTTTCGTACTCAGCAATTAGCAAGACCCTGGGTCCGACCTGGGGAACAGGTTTGCATTACATACCGATGTGCTCGGAAACATGACAGCATCCCGCTAAAGGCAGTGGTTAATTGCTGAGTGCCAGCTGGGATGATTGCACCGGCCGTCCCTGAAGGCAGCGGGCAGGCTGTCACTCACCCCAAAATGGCTCGCCGCGCTCGTCAGTCTGGATGGCACGGAGAAGCTGTAGCCGTACAAACCATATGGAGGATGTAAGGAACAATTAAGTGCTTCCCGAGCAATGGGACTCGATGGGAAAATGTTTCCAGATGCGTGTAATCCATACAGCATTTGGCTGGCGGAGTTGGGGACCTGCAGACACGGCCCGCTCAGGTCTTCAGACTTAGAGCTCTTCAGGCTGGCGATGCCGAGGGAGGAGAGTTTGGGCACATCGACCACAAAGTGGGGCAGGATGGGGGGACCGGGGCCGCCTGGCTTCTGGTGGCTGGGGAGGATGAGGGGCTGCTGGCGGAGGAGGTTGGTGGGGCACAGCCGGTAGCAGAGGGGCACGCCGAGGCCGGGCAGATGGGGCTCAGGGCACGGCGCGCCGGCACCGCTCACAGCCAGGTGGAAGGTGGGAGGTGAGCATGGAGGGGACAGCAGCGGGTTGAGAGGAGAGGGTGTCCCAGCACTGGAGGTCACCGGGGAAGAGCTGGAGCTGCTGCCTGGAGGGAAGAAGAGGAATAATCTGCAGTGGGTCAGCGGGTGGTGCTCCAGCCGGCAGCTTCGCGCCGCTGTGCGTCCCAATGTCACCAAGTGGGGAAAAGGGAGATCCACCCATCATCTGAATGCTGCTCCCACTTGTCAAAGGAATACCCGTGTGTATCAAACCCCATCAGTGTGGCTGTCCATACCCATGTGGTCAAACCCCATCGGTGTGCCTGGAACAGCCCCACGCCAGCTCTGCACCTGCTGTGCCAGCGATAGCCACCTCCCGTGACAGCACGACTGCTACTTCAGGTTCCCAGTTTTCTGTGCAAATTGCAGGCAGTTTTTCCCCCTTCTCCGTGAGAACAAAAAGATGCATTCAGCCCAATGGAGAGTTTCTTGTACCTTCCTGCTCACAGGAATTGACTCATTTTCCTTGGCTCCCCATGCAATTTGAGACGTACCCTCGAGTACCGTAGGTGTCTCCCGAAGCCGTAAATGCACAAAGCATTTTGACATTCTCTTTTAGGAGAGAAATGAACGAGCACTTTCCCATCCAGATGAGCTCGCTGGTTGCAGCCCGTGCCCAAAGCAGCACATCACTCAACCCCCATACAAATTTGGGGACAGCAGTGTGAAGAACAGAGCAACTCAAAGAGCAAATTCTTTTTGCCGTTCCTATCAGGCTTTAAAATCCAAGTTGATGACCAACTATTTTATTTAGCTTATCATTTTTTATTTGTCTCCTGGCTTTGAGGCTCCAAGATTGCTATTTCTCTTCTTTTTCTTCCTTCCTTTTCTTTTTTTTTTTTTTCCCCCAGAAATACACTTTTCTTATCAGCAGAGATAAGAGTTTTGTTCTATTTCCATCTTTCCAGAATCATAGAACTGTTTGGGTTGGAAGGGACCATTAAGATCACCCCAAATATTGGCCCTTAGGAAAAATACCCATTATGTTACAATTAGTTAAAAAATAAATCCAACCAAGCCGTAACGTTTTAGTGTCTGTGTGACACTAACTGCAAGTTGCAAATGTTCTCTCAGCCCGCTCTGCTGCCCCTCTCCCTGCTCTCACGTTGCAGCCTGCACGGTTGGTTCAAGAGACGCTTTTTGTTTTAGAAATGGTCTTTTCTATTAAAAAAAAAAAAAAGTTAAAAAAAAAGGTTAAAAAAATTGGAAAAAAGGGGAAAAAAAGGAAGAAAAATAAAAGGAAAAAAAGGAAAAAAAGGAAAAAAAAAGTCTGTCTTTACAATCTGTTAAACCTCTTAATTTCTCCCGAGTCTCCTTTTTACAACTCGTTATTCTTAATGTGGTGTTTCTAAACAACATCCTCCAATGGTTTGGGAACAATTAGCACTGTGGGCTGAAGGACACAACAACCCCACTGCAAAACAACCTCTCGCATATTTACATATATATACATACACATATTTATATTTATATATTTTTTTTCTTTTTTTCTGTTTGTCTAAATCTTCCTGCAGCTTCTGCCACGTCCATCACCGCTCCCCCCGAAGCGCTCACACCGAATTCAATGGGACTTTAGGCAAAAAATCATACAGAATCACAGAATCCCACACACCCACACTCTCACAGCCCCAATCCCACACCCACACCCCACCCAGCCCTACATCCTCATCCTCCTGCCCACAGCTCCAACCCGGCCCCACGGCCCCAGACTCACCCTGGCTGTCCGCGCCGAAGGCCTTCAAGTCCAGAGCCAGTTGTGGCCGCCATGGGAATGGCTCCAGGAGCCCATCCAGCACTCCCCTGCAGGTGATACGGGGCTGAGAGCCAGGGCCGGGTCTCAGGCTGTGATGGGGGGTGATTGAACCGTTACCTGTTCCTGCCAGGGTCCCGAAAGCCTTTGGCAAAAGGATTCCTGTCGATCTTCAGCTTGGTGATCTGTGGACGGAAGCAACATCTCAATGGGGCTGTTGGGGAGCGGGAGGTCGAGTGGACACACAGCCCCGCGGGTACCTGCTGGTTCTGGTAGGCTGTCACCGTGGTGAACTCGGTCTCCTGGAAGGAGAAGGTTTGCACCCCCTCAGCTGGCAGTGACTGAATCTGTGCCAGGTCGAAGCGGGAGTCCTGGGCGATAACGTGGACACGGGGCTTGTACTTGTGCATGGACTGCAGGATGATCTGTGTGGGCAGAGAGGGCTGGGCTGAGCCGCTGCCCGGAGTCTCACCGTAGCCCCACTGCACGGCTGCCCCACACCTACGTGCCCCTTGTCGTCCATCTCGTTGTTGGTGAGCTTCACCCGGTCGAAGCTGATGATTTGCCTCATCCATGTTTCCCCCGAGCAGGGGGAGTCGGGGTGGATGTAGAGCCGTGGTGTGATGCAGGAGTGGTCTGTGTTCCCTGCCACCATCCACTGCGAGCTGTGGTAGACGTACCTGCACCAAGCGGGACACCATCAGCACACTGTTCCCCTGATGCGCCAATCCATCCCTGTGTCCGTTCATCTATCCGTATGTCTTTCCAATCTTTCCATCCATCCATCTGTATGTCTGTCCCTTGGGCTATTCCTACATCCATCCATCAGTCCATTCCTACGTCCATCCATCCATCGGTATGTTCATCCATCCACCACCCACCCACCCGTCCATCCTCTCATACCTCCATCCCCCCATCCACGAGTGTGTCATCCACCCATCCATCCCTCCATCCCTCCATCCCTCCATCCCTCCATCCCTCCATCCCTCCATCCATCCACCCCTCCATCCATTCATCCTTCCATCCCTCCATCTCTCCATCCATTCATCCCTCCATCTCTCCACTCATCCCTCCATCCCTCCATCCCATTCCCAGCACACCCCATTGCAGCCGTTGGCCATTTGGCCATGCAGAAGGCTCCATCTTTGCAGCCACCATTGGAACTCACCATACCTGTACCGTTTGGAGTCCACTGGCACAACATCAATGGCGATGTAATACTGCTGCATTGGCTCCAGCCCCTTCACCTTCACCCTGACTGATGGGAACATCCGCCTGCACAGGGCACGGGGCAGCAGTTAGAGAATGCCCATAGCAGTGGTTGTTTAAAGAGGTGAAAATGGGTTGAAAAATTAAACAGATACTGGAGAAAAATAATATATATATATATTAAATGGCAACAACAAAAAACAAATTTGGAAAAAAAAAAAAAAGAAAGAAAGAAAAAAAGAAGATAAAAACACAGTGAAGGGGAGTTGAGAAAAAAAAGAAATGGGTGTGAGACGCAAAGGGGAAAATGGAGCGGGAAGGGTTGAAGGCAGGAGCCGGGGAGCCGGGGGCTGCTACCTGCCGGCCTTGGTGATGATCATCTCGGTGCCGATCTCGTGGAACCTCTTCCAGAGCTCAGAGCCCTGCAGCTCCACCTGCACCTCGTCCCCCACCTCCCGGCTCTCGGCGCCGGCCTTGGGCCGCTTCTCTGCGGGGAAGAGAAAGCGGAGGGAGCGCTGGGGCGGCTGCCGGGACCTCACCGGGACCCCCCCGCTCTGCCCCGCCGCTACCAACCGGGCTCGGATGCTCTGCGGCTCTGCCTGCAGCCCGCCCCGCTTTCCTCGTCGCGGCCGTCGGGTCCCTTTCTCTTGGCCGAGCGGCCCACGAGAGCTTCCACCGAGAAGGCGTGAGCCCGGGAGCTGAGCGCCATCCCCCCCCAACCCGGGCCGGGTTCCCCCCGGGCGGCCGCGGGGTTCAGGCGGGCGGCGGAGCTCCGGGCGGCGGCTCCATGAGGGCGCGGGGGGGGACCCGCAGCCGGCGGCCGTCGGGGGGCAGCGGGCACGGCGAGGTGCTCCGAGTGAGGAGAGAGGAGGCTGCGGCTCCCACTGTTTGTTTTGGAAACTGATGGGAGCGTAAGAAACATTGAGTGACATTTGGTAGGACTGGGACGGGGGGAGGAGGGGTGGGAGGGGAAAGGGAGAGGCGAGGGGAAGATGGGGGAAGAGGAGCCGGCCCCGTCTAGGATCAATAAAAGAGTTACTGTTCTCCATTAAATGGTAAAACTCAAAGAAATTTGACATAATTGCACACTAGGGGCCACTTTCCCAACAAAAGTGCAAATAACGTTTAACAAGAACCAGCACAAAAAAAGGGGGAAAAAAAAACAAAACCCAAAGAAAAAGAATGAAGGACAGAAAAGAAAAGGGAGGTTATGAGAAGGAGATTGGGGGGGGGGAGAAAACCCCCCCCGCGCTTTGGCTTCCCCGGTGAGCCCCGGTGCTGGCTCCGGGCTCCGGCTGTCCCGACGGGGCCGCTCCCGGCGGATCTCGGTGTCCCCGCGCCGTGTGCGGCGCTGAGTGCCCATTTTTGTCTCCGTCGGGTTTTTTCTTCGCACTGACCCCGCGTGCTGCCAGAGCTCCGTGCTCACGCGTCCTGCGGCATCAGCGGCTCGGAAACGGAGCCTCGGTGGGGCAGGGAAGCCTGAAGTCCCGCTCCACTCCTGCATCCCAATACCCGTAACTCCGGTCCGCTCCAGAATCCCGGTCCCAGTCCAGCATCTCGATCCCACTCCTTTATTCTGCTCCTACTCCAGCATCCCAATCCCACTCCTGCACCCAGGTCCTGCTCCAGCATCCTGATCCCACTCGTACATCCCAGTATCGTTTCTGTGTCCCACTCCCAGTCTCCCCTGAAGGGCTGTTGTGCTCCAGTGGCTCTCGCACCCCAAAGCTGATGGGGGCTGCAGCCCCGGGCCAGGAAAAAAAAAAAAAAAGGAAGTTAAATTTGTGGGCAGTGTTGGTAAAGCATCAGCTGAGGCAGGTGAGCCTTCAGAAGGGAATGTGGAGGTGGGTGAGATGCAGGTGGGGTTGAGGCAGTGGGAGCATTGAACGTCAGCCCTTTGCTGATGTGTCCAGTTTGTGCCAGTGCCACAGACTGCTGCTGGCCTCACAGCCCACATGAGGATGCACAATACTGAGGATGCACAATACTGAGGATGGACAATACTGAGGATGCTTGTTGCTGAGGTTACTCATTACTGAAGATGCTTGTTATTGAGGATGCTCATTAGTCGGCTCAAAGTGGGCTCAACACATTAATTCCCATTTATACCTGTCTATACCCATCTGCACTTCTCTACCCAGAGAAATGGACCACTCCTTCAGCATGTTGGTAATTAGAAGGAGGTCTGGGGGGTCCCTCCCTTCCCAGCACTGATAGAAGCCAGCTGAGCTCACGGGCCACAAGCCTTTATCTCTGCTGACATGACAGATTATTAAGAAGTATTTCAAGTAATCTTTGATTTCCTCGGCATTGCAACACATTGCAAGAACTTGGAGCGGGATCAAGGAGCCCCTTTTTAATTTCCTACAAGGAGAAATAAAACAAAAATAAAGCGCAATTGAGACGACATAATCAGGAACATTTTGAGGGTTTAGGTCAGATGGAGGCAGCAGGGCTGCATTTCCAGGGGCTGCTTTCATTCATCCGAGACCAACTCAGCCCCTCCCTGGGCTTTGTCATCTTATTGTCCTTAACGAATCGCGGGGTGGGATGTCATATATTTCCATCATCAGAAAACGGAGCAGATAATCCCTTGGCATAAAGTTCGGATGAACTAACTCCATTTTGGAGCAAGTGTCGTGCAATGCACCAGAAATGTTTGCTTCACTTGAGAACGATCCTGGATGGCGCCCATTAATGCGCTGAGGCTCACAAGTAGATGCCAAAGCCTGGCATTGCTGGCCATGCTGGGGCTGCCATGAGGCATTTCACTGCGCTGCACTGCTCGGTTTTGCCCAGATTCACTTTGAGTTTAACAAAGTGAAACCAAACCGAAGGAAAGGACTCAAAGCTGCCGTTGGGAACGCAGGGATCCTCTGTGCTGCGTTACGCTCTGACGTACGCCGTCATCCTCTGTGCCTCCACCTGAATGGCACGAGTTTATGTAAGAAGTGGTTATAAATCTGGGGCTGAGGCTGTGTCAGGTCAAAAAGGAAAGCAGAGGATCGCTCAGCCTCTGTTTTGAGAACCACGGGCAAGAAAACCTTTCTTTGTAAACAGTGTGAAACAAAGCCCTGTTTGCTGAGCCTGGAAAATCTCCACTCGTGGTGCGGATGGGAAAATTATTTTCATCTCATAACAGAATTACAGGATAGAAACCTTGAGACCCAATATGTGCCCACGGGTATCAGACACACAACAACAGGGCAGGGCTGGGAGCCGCTGCTCAGCTCATTCTGTTGTGCTGCGGGAGAAAGGCGAGCGAGAAGCTGATGGTGCACGGTGCAAATCGCGCTGTTTTCTTGCAGGAGGAGCTGCGTCCCCGCGCACCGCTGCTCTCGGCCACAGGGAGGACAGGGAGTTTGCTCTGGGGCCGCTTTACAGCTGTGCTAAGAGCGGCTCGGAGCGATTCTGTGCATCGACCTTCGGTTTCTCTAAGCGTGGCTGCTTCATCTGAATCATTGAGCCGCTGCTCAGAAGCTGATTAAAGACTATTCCCAGCAAACAACGGTTTGAAAAGACACTCCTAAAGTCTAAGCAAAAATTGGCAGAAACACCCAGCAGCTCAGCACGGCGCTGGTGAGATTGCTTCCCCTTGCGTTCTCGGATGTCAGGTCCCACGGCGTAGCTTCTATTTCACTCCCCATCCCAGTTTGCCCATCATGAACTCTGAAGGACCCGTGGGTGCAGGAAGGGGCAGTGCTGAGCCCAGTGGGTGGGCATGGGAGGGCACACAGCTGGTGCCCGTGGCACTTTGGAATTGGATTTGCTTTTCTCCCCTCCTGCCACATGCACAGCATTAGCTGGGGATATATTAAAATAAACCTCTGTTATGTTATTTTATCCATCAGCACAAAGGAAGGTTGTACAGGGAGGAGGATTAAGCCCCGAGGAAATGATTCAGCAAAGCAAAAACAATCCGAACAGCATCTGGGGGAAAGTTAAGCCGAATTTGGTGCTGGGGATCATTTTGTTGTCCCAGCAGTTCCATGTCCACCTGCTGCCACCTGAGCCCACTGCTATTGCCAGGGCAGAGCTATTGGGATGCTGCAGAGGGCCCATATCCCATTGCAACCCCAATGTGTTTTGGGGAGAAGGAAGAATTATTGGCTCTGTGCTGCAAAGGATGTTTTTTGGGTCTCTATTCCCAGCCCATCTCCTGCCTTCTTGTTGGCGTCAGTATTTGCAGCTGAGGACTGTGCACTGCTTGGCTATTAGCCCCATAAACAAACAACAGGGCAAGGCATTTTCCAAGCTCTGCCAGAAGTTCAGGCACATTGATGGGGCTGGGAGAGGCATCTCTGCCTGGTGGGAATGAGGTCCTGTCCTGCTGGGCTTTCCTTCCCCAGCACAAAATCTGTCCAACAAACAGCTCCTTCCACTGCAGAGTGAAGGGGAGAAGCCAGGCTGCGGTGAACTTTCCTTGTAATACTTAAAGAAAACACTCCAAGAATGTGGAATCATAGAGGATTTGGGGAGAGCAAACTGAAGTGCATGGCTGGAGTGGGAAACCTTTGAGGACAGATTGGAGACTTCTGTGGATCTGCAAGGTGAGTGTGAGCCCTGGGCTTCAGCTGAGCCCGGCAGGGAGGGATGTACTCTTCCCAAAGCTGCTGTCCCAGAGCACTTTGTTGACGTTCTCCATTTGGATACTGCAGCAATTGTTGATGTGATAGCAAATATCAGAGGGAAGAGGAGCAGCTCAGAGAGGGGAGTGTGTTTGGGAGAAGGACAACAAGTCAGAAAGTGTGCGAGGAAGCTTTCACTTCTAGGCACCAAAGTGCTGGTGAACCGTGAGCTTGCACTTTGCTTAGGAAGTGATTATTGGAATGAAACAGAATAGATACGATCTTAATATTCCATGGGAGCTGCCAATACAAATATCTGTCAGCAGATATGTAAGAGAATAGCTTCAAAATAAAAGGAAAATGAATTACAAGACATTTCCGAAGGAGAGTGATGTCAGCCCCAAACCAAGCTATATATATTCTTTGTATTTGAAATTGAAACCACGTGAACTCTCCATGCAGAGCTGGGTGAAACTCTGCTTTTTCACGTTTCCCCTTAGGGATGAGGGATATTATTCTCTGGTTTTAATTTGGAAGTAATAAATAAACGTGATGGATTTGCCACCCAATGGTGGCTGTGGAGCTGCGCACAGCTCAGCGCAGGGGGGGCTGCAGGGGTGGTGCCAGTGCTGTATTCCTACTGCTGGTGCTGCTATCAGAAAGGAAAGCAGTGCAAAATGAAGTGGGCAAGGGGCTTCATGGGGGCTGCAGGTCAGAGAGCAGGGAAATCTGTCTTATCTCTGCATCCAAAATGTCCCTCTGGCTGCACGGGGTTGTAGAATGCACACTGTAAACTATATGGCAGAATATCCAAGGGTCTTTTTCAATAAGGAAAGAAGGAAAACATGCAGGGATTTAAGAGACGAAGCAGTTCAACTTGCGGGTTCCTTTTGTTTGCAAACGGGGACAGTTCTGCTGAGATCCAAAAACCACTCCAAACCTTCAAAATTAGCAAATAACCATCTGGCCTGGTGGCTCAGCGCCTTCCGCGGCCATAAATCCACAGCCCTGCAACGTTAGCAGGGGATTTGCTCTGTAAAAACCCACTCGGTCTTTGGGTAATGGGAAAACAAGGCAGGATGGCTGTTGGGGGCTGCAGGGTCCAGCGAGCATTGCAGGGTGCAGTGATCTGCACAGAGCT